GCAGTTAAAAACGTAATTTCGCAGCTAACCGTACCTTGCGCTGCGACAGAAGATTCTGCACCAAGCCCAGGAGTCGTGGAACGAGCAGTGAATCGACTGCTGACTCGGTCAACAGACGCAACAGCTGGTCGGGGTTTAAGCCGACTACTATCGCAATCTTCACTTTGTCTTCTGCCCGGTACGCTGCATTCTATAAAACGTACCATAACAGAATGCGTCGACAGATATAAGACATGCAAACTGACCATCAGCGCCCAAACGGCGTTCAGACGCAAAGATTGATTCTCACTCTTGACCATTCCGCACAAAGTTTCGATGATGCCGGACTCCAATAAAAACTTAACCGAACAATTCGCATAAGTCAGCGTTTAACTTGTGTAATATACCAATTTACTAGGAGAAAATTCTAAGAGAAGATTGGCAATGACGGCAACCGCCGTGCAAACGATGTCGCTTTCATTGGAACTTCGCGTGAGCTGAAAATTTAACCTTTCACGCAAAAGAAATGAATTTACATGCAACCTAAAAATCTCTGATCGCTAAACTCACAGCAAATAAATTTGTTATATGTAAAATGAAACATTACAGAAAGACCAGGCACTTTGAGATAAACTTTAACTATCCAGAAATTGGCAGCGCTGCAAATGATTCAGACACAGAACGAATTCCACAAATCATGTTTGATGCTTTACTGTATTTTGAATAACTCCGTTCAATCTGCCATCCTCAGTCAGGATGGTCAAACGGAGCAGATGAAGCATGCAACTGCTAAAAACGAAGTGTTTATGCGAATCGAATGATAGTAAACAACATCTAAACTTATGCCGCTGATTATCACATAAACGGAGTTGACTTTGTAATTAGTGCAATAGCCGGCTGGAAATATAAACACATTTAGTCCGGATGAGTATATAAACTGAACTGAAATGAATATTTAAAAGGCAACTTACGATCAGCAAAGTCTGCCATGTGGCTCTATTTTGGAAAGTGGTTCTTAGCTGCTCTAGCGAACGACTCAAAGAACTTAAACATTTCAAAGCCGATAATAGAACCTGGTCACCGTATTTGTCAGCGTCCAAACAGCGAATCAAGTTTTGAACGAAGTTAAGAACCTCTGCTACCACCTGAAAATCAAACGTGAAATACTGCTCATCGATGGATGTAAGCTTTATGTTACCTTTCTTCTAACCTCTTCGTTATTAGATGTCAGAGCGGCAATACCCTGCAGGGCTGCATCGATCAGACATATAGCATTTTCTCGCTTAACCTGTGCCAAATAAAAATGCCAAGAGTTAAAGCAAATGTATTATATTTAAAATCACACGAAACAACTTAACTGCATCAGAATGGCGAACTAAATGTTAGCCTTACGTCAAGAGAGAACAAACGCCAAATAACGATTAGACAACGTTCCCTCAAAAATCAAGAAGTAGACAACTTAGAGATCGAGTCAGTTAACATTTACTTTATTCACTTTGCTGAACGGCGGCTAAACTTCATTAAAGATGTAGCGCAAGTATAAGGGAATCGATGTAGTACAGATACAAAATCATGTTCACAGGTGGAAGCTGACTGTTTCTAAAACCTGTGCGCGCGTCCGCGTGAGTGCACACATGCGCATGTGCACGATGTGAACAACACTGCTGCGTTGTAACCTTCTCATGGCAATTAACCTTCGTGTTGCTCAGAAAATGAACTTTCAACCAAACACCAGCATAGAGTGCTGTTACAAGGACACAATCTTACTAAAGTTAATTATGTATTTCCCATTCATAACTTAAGCAGTTTAACACGGACACGAGGACTCCAGACCACGTTAAATCTTCAACCATTTTGCGTATGACGGTGGCAGACAACATTCACGATAAGCCCAAGCTGAAGCAGTTGCCATCCAGTTTTTCATAAGAAGCTCTGGCAGCGCGTCCGTAACTTGATTTCCGTAAACAATAGATGAATACAGATTTTACTAAACAATACAAATATGATACAATACGAAACGTGGGGCAGAAATATTGATAGTGTTTGTTGATATCATCACTTTAAGACGCTTGCATTTGGAGCTGGTTTGTAATGTCAGTTGCATTAGCAGCATTCCAAAACTTTTGCCATAAGGCAATGATTACTACATCGCAGGAAATATTAGTTCCCGAAAGCAGATCTGTCTCTACACTGTTACTCCAGTTGCACGCTGGCTGACGTCTGCTTCGTTTCTACTCCCACACCAGAAAATCACGGGCTGAAGTAAATAATATATGCTCAAGCAGCTCCTCAAACAGGGCCAACTTCTTTTCATAATTTCCACATCTACTGAAGTTGCCTGTGGCCGGAAGAGAAGTCACTCCTTACGTGGTCCAGCCATTTAAGCCAGCCCAATTATGCATCGAAACCAACCCTGCTGTACGCATATCAATTGTCGCTCTTGCTCCTTTGGTGGAACAACTGAGTTTATGTCACAGAACAACACTGACGTGACAGAGGCAAAGCACAGGCTGAATAACGTGGCAAGATTCCTTCCTCAGCCAAAATATTGGACAGGATTCCAAAGACAGTGGAGGTTAGGGCGATCCCTCTATTTAACCCTGGTTGGAGCACCATGGCTGGAGATGATGGAACTGAGATACTAAAACTGGTCGAGCTCCTGAAGCGCTTCAATTCCCGGTATCACCTTCAGCTCAGATATACCGGACGGGTACCTCTGGCAACTTTCGATTTCCGGGTATTACGAAGCAGGCCGGCTTTAGCAGCTCTGTAGCTTACGTGAACAGTCAAGTGATAGAGCCCGTTTCTCGCCCTACTCACAAGGACAGTATCATATGCGTACTCCGGGTCAGCAAGATATTAAGCTGGATATCTTGAACTGCGACTTTTCCAGAGAGTGAGACCATTGACTTCGCAATGATAAACAATGAATCAGGGAAGAAAGTCAAGAACACTGTTAAGCAGCAAAGGCGAAAGCACATCTCCTAGCCGGGCACCACAGTTAAAATGAAACCACTAAGACATCGCTCCTGCAACTATGACAGGACATGACAACTAAAAACGTCGGTATTGCTCAATGATCCAACGAAGAATGAAAATTGGTCCTGACAGGAGTACCCAATCTAAGCCTGCTTGGTTTTGACGAAGACTTCCGTCAACTACCTGCCTAAACCTTTCCAAGACCATCAGGAGAAACGTTTCCCGAGAGTTGACAGTAGCATAATACCACGATAATTGGAACCCTCGGTCGCTGATCCGCTTGAAATACAGAGACAATAACTCTGCGGTTTCCATTCTCCAGGGAAACGCTTGGAGGTCCACGTTTGATGAAAAACTGGGCAGGGAGCCTTTCTACCATTCTTATTCCTCCAAACTTAGTTGACTCTGGAGGAATTCGATTCACTATGCAAGCCTTCTTCACCTTAAGGTGCAGCATGACTTTTCGGATCTCTAGTTTGTGGGTGAATCAGTACTAACTACTGGCGTTGGCAGACAATTAACAGTTTAAATCTGAAGAACACCTGTTACGCAGTTGCTGCAAATGTTGAGCCAATCGCTTGAGACGTTCCTTCTGATCTGCCAATGGGATATCGATAACTTCTTGAATAAGGACGCACCGAGTCTTCTGCTAACCCGACAACTGTAGCACTCTACTGAATACTTTACTTTAGTCAGTCACTCTTTCTAGCCACCTTATTAATCTTCCTAATTTTTTTCTTGAGCCAAAGTTACCTCTCATGCCGGCAGCTCTGGTTGATTGTACAAACGAGATGGCGACGAGTCTTCGAGAGTTCCATAGGATGCTGCAAGTACTCCTTCTTTGCCTGATTCCTTTGCACTCTAAGGGTTAGTGGATTGTCAGTAGCTCAGGGCAATTTGTTTATCCTCGTTGTGATCGGAAATAACTTTTTCACCTAGAAAATTGTGCCTTCACTTAAGCCTTCTTAAGCATCATCGACGTTGCCACTTTCGAATCGAACACTAAGGATAACATTAAAACAACTCTCTACCTCCTTCTGGTAGGCCGACCATGCCGCTTCGTCATTCAAGACTGTCAACATAAAGCAATTTGTTTCAGTTATAAAATGTCGATGCGATGGCTAATTTTAGACGAAGTTCCGCTACGACCATATGGTGATCAGGCCCAATGCAGGTGTCGTGTCAGATGGAAGTCTCGAGTAACGACCTGCGACGTTTGCAACTTATGACGACATGGTCCAGCTAGGTGTTTAGACTTTTATCAAGTGACGTCAAGATGATCTGGTGGATTCGTTTATGATGAAATAAGTGCCCCGCTGACGACTGGCTGTTTGTCGCACAAAAGCTTACCATATTTCTGCGACTGTCATTCGCAGAATTAATATCTTGAAGGTTGAGTATGCCTGAGTACGTGGTGTACTGGGCACCAACCTTCGCATTGATCTCGCCTGTGACAACTAAGACGTGGTGATGCGACAAAGCAGCTGACTGCAAGCGACGATCATAGAAAGCGCCCATGTCGATGTGACTCTTCACATATGTCAGGGCGTGTGCAAGAATTAGATTCAATGTCGCCCGTTTGCCATGCATTTACTCTGACAACTGGTTTGCAAAAATGATAGCCCGGCTTACATTGGGAGATAAAAGGATTCCCGCAGCGGCATGATGTAAACTAACGTGGTCTTACCAGCAAAGTGACCGCTATCGTGCAAGTCAAGCTTCCACTCCCAAGGGAGGCGAGGTTCAGTGACCACCAGTACATTGAGTTTGTCCCGACAGGCAATACGACAGACATCATGCAACATACTTTCGTCAGACAAGGAAAGAACGTTCCAGTATGCCTTTTGTAGTGTTGACTGATGGAATGACGGATCCCTTTGCTGCTAGTTGTCTGGTATGTTGTACGCAGGAAAAGCTCGCTGCGCAACTCATTTCCGCGACAGCAAAAAATTCGCCACCGCTCGCTATGGAATCAATCTGATACATGATAACAGTAACAGCGTTTAAAGTCAACTGTGGTAATCACTACTGCAAAGCTTGTTCTATCCCAACCAATTCAGAGAAGAGTTCCAAACCTGGCATAAGCGGGTTTTATTTAATGTTATGACGTATTCCATCCTTTGTTGGGAATGATGACGATACAGCAAGCATTCACAACATCATTACGCCGGATTTCCTGATCTTTACCATCCATGTACCATGAAGGACATCAATTTTTTTCACTTCAAAATATTCATTACGCATCGCCCATTTAGTCCTGGCGTTGCCATCTCCGTTCAGAGGAAAAACAGTACGGTGAAAGATCATTACGATTTTGCTGAAGATTAATATGGATGGTATCGCTAGATCCTTCCGTTCGAGTTTGTAGTCAGAGTATCTTTCAAGACAAATTTTCCTTAATGGTCTAAACGGATCTGAGAACCACGTATGGCCCATCTGAGAGTTCACAACAGATCGTAATGTTATGCCCCTCGCAGTGATATTCAATGTCCTACAGTGACGCGGTCCATTATCCGTGACGTAGACATAAAGGCAAGATTTCAGGAAAGCAGACTGATTATGTAAACACCGAAATATGAATATTAGTGTTTAAACCGAAATGGGCAAATGAAACTATAGAGCTTAACTCGCTTATGATACGCTGCAGCTAACGGTGCGACTTTAGAGGTTACCATGTTTTCGTTTACTTTGGAACGATGAACCGTGAACAGAATGGAGGAGATTTCAACCGACGATTATTCGGCCGCGACACCGGCACCCAAGTGTCCGGGTTGAAAAATCAGCTCGGATTAAAGATTCATTCATCCATATAAATTATGTGCAACAGGTCGTTCATGTATCGTGAAAAGAAATAAGAAACGGCTAGAATCACATTTTTAAATTCCGCAGGTTTCGCTTGATACTTCCTCGCTGTGGCGATATCTTCTCCCGGCAACTATAGCACAGTTTTTAGCCACGCACAGCTGTTAACAGTTTCAAAAATACGGGCTTAATTCTTTATGGGGATCACATACTTCATCATGAATATCTGTTTTTAAAGGATTCATTCCGCATGAATATTTCATGTACAATTTGCCCGACATTTAGACTGGTATTGTAATTAATCTTCAGGGACCAAAATATATAAACAGTGAATAATAACCATATCTGTAAACTGCTTGTGCATTCTGGCCTTAAAGAAGGATCCAGTCGATCTGAAATGCCAGGAAAATTTTATATAACATTTATACGAAACAAGCCATTTAAAAAATGTCGTGGTCAAACATCTATTAGAAAGGTTCAACTCAGCTGGCAAGAAAATGCAACTGAAGAAAGTGAAAGGACTTAGTAGAATATTTTATACAACGGAGACGTTAAAACCTGAACCGACACATTAC